GAAAAGCACCTTGGAAAGGTAGGCTAAGTAATACTGGTCAAGTATACTTTAAGGCAAGAACCATTACTTGAGATAAGATGGAACATTTCTTAATTATAAAATATTAAACCTACCAGGAACGTAAAACAGTAATTCAAAATTTTTCAACAATCAGTAACATAATCTCAAAATTGGAGATTTTCAAAATAAGGAGAAATAGTAAGTTTTTAACACATTTCTCTCACACTGATAAAACAGGCAAATCAAAATCAGGAATAGTAGTGAAGATCTGAACAACTAAATTAACAAATTTAGCGTGTATTACAGAAATAGAGTATTGAATTGAGAAACTTTGGAATATAAATTCCTTTTAAGAGCACAGAAGTTGCTCTCAGAAAAATTACCAAATGGCCATATGCTGGGCATTATAGCAAGTTACAAGAAAGTATTGCAATCATGTAGATCATGCTATGTGAACACAATGCAATTAAACTATAAATCAGTACAAAAAGATAACTAGAATATTCCAATATGCTTATAATTTAAGCAATGCACTTTTCATTTGCTTATGGGTCAAAGAAGGAATATTGTGATGAATTGTGATGGAAATAAAAACAAAACTTGTTTGTTGGTTATTAGGAATAGCAGAGTACAGACCTTCAAAACCTACTCTTCTATAAAAACAGTGAGAATACCAGCAAAAATTGTCAGAATCAAATTCTTAATCAGAGGTATGCAACAATCTGAGGAACGTTTTTTTGCCCCCAGTAAATAGTATTTTTATTCTCATGTCAAAAAAGTATTTCTAGGGAATTTCCTGGTGGTCTAATGGTGAGGACTCCATGCTTCCAGTGCTGGGGACCTGGGTTCAGTCCCTGGTTCAGGGAAGCTAAAATCCTGCAAGCTGCGTGGCGTGGCTAAAAAGAAAAAAGAGTGTTTCTATGATATGCATTAACAATACAAAAATATTTTGAATACTGCAGTGGTCTTTTTTTCTCCCAAGACTTCTTGCAACAGTACACTAGAATATTTGATTTTTGGATTCTGAGAAGCCAGTGGCTAAAGTAGAAACTGAAGGCTTTTGTTGAGGGGTATGTGTGGGTATGGGGATGGCCCTTTTTCTTTGGATCCAGGCTCTGTACAGTAAAGAGGAAGCAAAAAACAACTAAGTTAAATTAAGAAAAGATTTGTCTTTTAAGGCTCAGGATTGAAACTTAGCTTAGAAATGGGTTAAAGTAGGCTGTGGTGGAAACCCACTGTTCCTCAGAAAATTTGCTGAATTGCAATATGAACAGTAAGATTTGTGATGTGTTAACATGTCCTTATTCCATTCCAACTTCTCCAGCTCTGCAAACTAGTAGCCTACAGTCGTGGTAAAAACCAGTAGCCTGGCAGCCAGGGGAAGGGACAAAACAGAGTTGGAACTCTTTCAAAGTCCCATTCCTGGAGAACTGTCATCATATGGTATGTGTGGCAGTTCCCTGGCAACTCTCACTTACAGGGGTTGTGTTTGTTACAAGTGACTCAGAGTTTGTCCAGCACTGAAAGCCTTTCTCTCCGGTGTTTCTCATAAGCAATTATCAGTAATTGTTTAACTTCACAGCTGCCTGAGGCAGCAGTAACCGTTGGGGCAAACAGGAAGCTAACCAAATACTTAAAAGGAAAAGCCAGGGAATGAGATGTTTGTAGGGGACTTTGAGAAGCTCCAGCATGTTCCTGGAAATCTAGAAGACCATGTACACGGGCAGGGCTGTGGGTATGCCAGGGAAGACTTGAAAAGGCCCTATTTGCCCACCTCCACTTGATAAATTGATGTCTTGAGCAGGTAGACAGTGAAAGCTAAGGCACAGTTGTCAAATGCCTGCCTGGACATCGAAGGCGTGCCCTAATATACACACATAGAGCCCCTCAGCAAAGGCTAGGAAACTTATTTTTTTTATTTTTTATTTTTTTGCTGTGTGCGGGCCTCTCACTGTTGTGGCCTCTCCCGTTGCGGAGCGCAGGCTCAGCTGCCATGGCTCACGGGCCCAGCCGCTCCGCAGCATGTGGGATCTTCCCGGACTGGGGCATGAACCCGTGTCCCCTGCATCGGCATGCGGACTCTCAACCACTGCGCCACCAGGGAAGCCCTAGGAGACTTATTGATTGAAGTCATTTAAGGATATCTCTGTCTAATCCTTACCTGACCACTAAGCTAATCAAACAGGGATTTTAGCGGTTAAACACAACCAAGAATACAGAATTTACCAAATTAGTTCAGTAACAACAAAAACAGCAAGCAGACAGAAAAGAAAAAAAAAAAAAACCCTGGGTTGGGAGATACCTGATTTAGAATTGCCAAATAATATTATTTAAAATGTCCAGCTTTCGTAAAAAAAAAAAAAAAAAAACATGAACTAGACACAGAAACAAGAGACTGTGGCCCATAACACAGGGAAGGAAACAGCTAATAGAAACTGTCCCTTTTTTGGATAGATTTCACATATAAGTATTGGATATTTGGGTCACTTCGGTTATTTTTTTGTCCAATAGGCGCATCAAAGTTACTATTGAAACCTCTAGATTTCTTGAAAACATAAATCTCTCTCCCTTTTTTCCTTTCTGTAGAGATGAGGAGGTTTCATTGTAGGTAGGATCTTGATATGATTATTGATTATTCTGGGTAGAATGAGGCCTAATCTCTTCAGGAAGGGAAGAAGGGAGAGGGATTTTTATGTTCAATTGCAATGTTTTTCTATATATGATCATTTATAACTCAGAGATTTAAAATTAGCCGGATGAAGGGTCATCACAAAAATCATATCAAGATTCATAGGGTATTTTCACTGGGGATTGGGCTCAGAGTTATAGATCCCTTTTATTGTATAGTCCTTTTTAATTGTTCTCAACAGCAATGTGAGATTCTGAGACACAGGAATTATGATGATGGTTTTAAGGATATAACTAAAATGATCCTGTCTCTGAATAGAATGGAGACAGACAAATGACTGTGCTTGGACCCTCATCGTCACGGGGAACAGAGACCAATAGCAGGCAGACATAAGATCCCTGAGGCTGAGAAAATCTCTCCAGTGTCGTTTTACTCCTTTTGAGCCCCTTAGGAATGAGCTCTACAGTTCCTTGGGGTTTTCCTCTTCTCCATTCTTCCTCTGATCCCTGGCCAAAGAGCTATAAAATTCCTGATTATAGCATCTCAGACATTTAGTAATGTCAAAAATTCCTTATTGCTAGTGTCAATGTCCAGGACTACTTTTTTTTTTTTTTTTTTTTTTTTTTGCAAAATGGTGGTGGTTTGTAAGACATCTATGGCCTTTGGAATTTACTGTTCATACTCTTGAAGTAGTTATGGAGGTGTAGTGAAAAGGTCAGGCCGGTTCCCATTTTGCATCAGGCAGCTTTATGACAAAGTCCTGTGAGTATCAGACGATGATAGCCAGCCGTATTCATTAAGACAATCCTTTTTATGTTTGTAAAACATGAAATCCAGTTAAAGTAGCTTGTCTGTTATTAAAGAGGCCCCCAGCAAAAGGGGTGGTGAGACAAAATGCTGCCATTACAGTATGCTGTTGTTTTGCATTTCCAGTAATTGGTGTCCTTTGCTCAGTAGTGACACATTATTGAACTTTTAAGGATTCTGTTATATCAGTATTGGAGAGGGATTAAAGCAATGAGAGTCTGCCAGTGTTTTAATCATTCTTTCCTAACTTTGGTCAGAGCTTCTCCACTTTTAACAGCTTTGGGTTTAGGCCCTTCTGGTTTTTCCATATGTCACTAAGCCAGATGATTACAAGCATTTGTTTGGCCTACATTTCCTTAAAAGTTCTGTCAGCTGAAGTCAACAGTATCCACTAAAAAGTAGCTTGAAGTGTCTACCTGTATGGCTGGATGAAAAGAAAAATAGAGCTCCTGTCCTTCAAGGTCTTCCACTCAAAGATGGGTAAGGCCAATACTGATAGATATAAAAAGCTCATCAACCGCTTTGATGGTGAATGTTATGGCATGTGAATTATGTGGCAGTTTTTAAATGCCTAGACTTTGAAACAAAAAATGTATAAATAACATTCTAGGGGTAAATACAAGTTATGGAATAGTTATAGCAAATTAAGAATGGGAGAGTTTGGTCAGAGGATTATTAAGGGGGAATTTCTTTCTACTTCGAAATTCATTGAAGAGAGTGAATTATGAGACCTATTTGAAGGGAGAACAGAGAGGCTCTGGGAAAACGTACAATCTGGGCTTAAAACATAACTGGCAAGAAATCTGGTAGATGATGACATTGTGAAATGAGTCAGTGAATTTGAGCGAAGTGTAGAATGAGTGGTACTCATGGATGCGGATTAAGAAGGCAAAGAAAGATAAGAACCTACAACATACATTTTTCTTCTGGGTTGTGCTCTTTTGTAAGTGCTTGGCTGCTCTTTTTCTAACTCTGCATTGCTTACGGCTCCCTGATATGGGTCATTGTTCGCCCACACAGGGCTTGACTTTAAACCCACTCCTGCTCTCAGAGGCATAGGTGAGGCGTTGGTGTGGCTCTGTGCCCTTAAAGAAGCCTTGTTCTTGTGCCTTAGAAAACATCCATCAGCAAATTGATGATGGGAGGTGGCCCGTCAGCACAGACCCCTGTAGAAGTCTTAAGTGGCAGAGTTTATGAAGAAACTTTGGTCTGAGAACCCCTTGTAATTGTGCTGAGCTGATGGTGCCAGACCTAAAGCCTGATCTTGTTTTATTTTCCACTAAAATGTAGTGTTTGAAGAGAGACTAATTTTAAGTAATCCAATGTTTTCAGTTTATTAGGGATGGTGTCCAGTCATTTTAAAAAATAACCAACTGACATCCCATTCTGTCACATTAAAATCATGGCTTGAATCTTCTGGGAGAAGCAGAACCCTCTAGACCCCAGTGAAATGTTTAATCATCACATCTATTACAGATTGTAAATTTAACATCATGAAAAGCCCGACTTAGGCATAATTTTCTTCTTCTATTGTTGTTTTTTTTTTTAATTTTAAATTATCAAGGAACCTCAAACCAGTTACCCAGCTATACGTCAGTGTGGACGCCAGCACCAAAGAGAGCCTGAAGAAAATTGACCGCCCGCTCTTCAAGGATTTCTGGCAAAGATTCCTCGACAGTTTAAAAGCCTTGGCTGCAAAGGTAAGAATCATGACATCTTAAAAAAAAGATTTTTTTTTCCTTTAAAAAAAAAAAAAGACTAAAATCTTCAACTTTTTTCTAGACTTCCACTTTTATTATTCAGTAAATATTTATCGAGTTCCTCTTAAGTTTCTAGCACCCTGCCTTATATATATTATATGTCCTTCATGTATTTCAGGAGAGAGATGCACACTCCCAAAGCTAATTAGTAAAACACGGGTAAGCGCAGTACATGGCAACCCTAGAAGAGGTGTCAGCAAATAGTATATGTTTAAATATGAAGTTAATTTTCCTGAATTTCTAGAACAAAATTTCCTACCCAATAAGGAACTCAACCCCAGAATGTCCGACCCCAATGTCTTTTCCTGCAAACAGTTGCCCCTTCTTAAATCTTCCTATTCTTTTAGACCTAAGGTACCTTCTGGTTCTTCTTTTCCATTGGCCCCTATGTCAATAGTTGGTATTTTCTGTTAGTTCTACCTCTTCTTCTCTTGTAGCCATTTCCCCTTTTCTGTTCTCTTTGCTTCTACCCTGCAGTTCCTCTTGGTTTACGCAAATCTAACTGATACTGACAGTCACTACAGGAGCTTAAAAAATTACAGTTTCCTATTCCTAGGGGGATTTGAGAATCCACATTTTAAACATCTCGGGTGATTTTTGATGTGCAGCCAAATATATGGAAGTCACTGTCCCAGAAAACCTGCCTTTCTCTCCTTTGCCCGGCACTTACTGTGGCATTCCCACCCCGTCGCCGTCCGGCTGCAGTGAACGTTTCCAGACTCATCCTTCACCATGTTCCCCAGGAATGCTACACAGCCCTGCTTGTCTTGCTATTTCTGCAGGTGTGCCCAGCACTTGTCCCGAGTCCTTGGTTACCTCCTCAGAACCTAGACTGTCCTTTCTTTCCATTTTTTTGACTTGTAGAAATTCTATGCAACCTTCAAGTCTCAGCTTCATTATTACCTTTACTGCGAAGCCGTTTTCAGTTGCAAATAGCTGTCCCTGTCTGCCTTCCCAAGTTTTATATCTGTAAATACACTTCATTTCCTCTGTTTTATCCTAGCTTCTCTCTCCCCAACTGGATTCCTTACTCATGTCTGAATTCTAACACAACATAGTTAATGGTATTTGATAAATGTTTGTTAAAAGAATGAATGAGTGGAGACTCACCCAGAGCTCTGTAGTAGTGAGATGTACTCTACCCATTTTCTTGACTTTTCAGCTGATCAGAGCCGCCTTGCACCTCCCCCCCCCGCCCCCTGCTTTTAAGCTTGAGAATTTAAATCTGTGCCTTTTTTGGTGATTAACACTGACATTATTTAAGACATTCAAAATAGGCATTGGTTTCTGATCTGTCTTGGATTATTTATAAAGCTAGCAAGTCAGATGCTTTTTGGTTCCTAAATTTTCTTCGTCTCTGGACTTCACCTTCAGCTGTATCCTCATTGCTTATTGCTGAGACAGGAGATACATAGCATTAAAATCAGAACGGATTTAGATGGAAGTAAACAGCAGGGGCTGGCAGTCTCAAACACATATGAGATTGTTATCTAGACCATATCCTGAGTCGGAATGTGGAAGATGAGAAATAGGCATTAGCAGAATGGCTCAATAGGCTCCTTTTTGCCAAAATTTTCCACAAAATGAATTCGTATCTTGAAGTTACAAGTAAGCCTTTGGATGTCCAGTTCAGTTGTAAGTACTCTGGATTGACTCATTGATAGTAACGCACTAACTTAAAGTTCTACAATATTTTCTAACCCATGAGCTTCTTACATATAATATCATAATTGTGTCCACGTAACAATAGTTGAAAAAGTTTCCTTGGGCTGTTTAAACTAGCTGCTCCCAAATTAGGGCAATTGCTCTCTAAGCATTTTGTAGCAATGAGTTTATGTTTCTCATTCTTGTATTGTTTACACTGTCATTTAAGAAAGATCTGCAGCAGGAAGCTGCTGTCAAAATAAAAAGTTCTCTTTAAATTAACTCAAGCTATGTTATTTCCTTTTGAATGTCTGATATTATTGGTATATTAGATACTATTAAGAAAGGTTGACTTTACTGCTGTTTAATACTGAAAAATAAGACATTTATGTTGTGACTATACTTACTAGCTAGGGTCAAATATATGATCACTGTCATCTGATAATCATTTGAGTTTTTCAATGAAAACTTTGAAATAAAAGTGATATTTGAGATGTTTCAATTAGAACATCCATACTGTTATCTTCTGTTACTTGTTTGAGCTTTAAGTATACCTGAGCAAGAAAAGACATTTGAAGAGAAAGAATTTCTTAAACTTTATAAACAAAGAAATCCGATTTTTCCCAAGCTTTTCAGCCTACGTATGATCTAGTACCACCCAAAGTAGAAGAAGGTAGCATATTTTGTTTTATTACTCTTGGCAAGTATAAAGGTTACATTTCAAGATTTTTATCCTTTGTCTAAATGTTCCTTTTCAAATATGAGGGGAGAAATAGATTGGTATTTGAGTATGTGGGGCTAAAAAGCAATTCCATCAAGATAACACAGCATAAAATGTGTTAGCTTCAATTTCTGGACATGGCAGCTACTTGTCGAACAGTCCTTTTTTAAAAAAAAAAAAAATCCGTCTTGTGCAAGACAGCACTGCCTACCTTTGGCAGTAGACTTTTTTTTAAAATAAATTTCTTTATTCATTTACTTAATTTTTGGCTGCGTTGGGTCTTTGCTGCTGTACGTGGGTTTTGTCTAGTTGCTGCAAGCAGGGGCTACTCTTTGTTGGCGGTGCATGGGCTTCTCATTGCGGTGGCTTCTCTTGTTGTGGAGCACGGGCTCTAGGCACGTGGGCTTCAGTAGTTGTGGCACGTGGGCTCAGTAGTTGTGGCTTGCAGGCTCCAGAGCACAGGCTCAGTAGTTGTGGCGCACAGGCTTAGTTACTCCGCTGATGTGGGATCTTCCTGGACCAGGGCTCGAACCTGTGTCCCCTGCAGTGGCAGGTGGATTCTTCACCACTGCACCACCAGGGAAGCCCTGACAGTAGACTTTTATCAGAAGTGTGACCAGATGTGTTTCTCTTGGCACATTATTATGCCAAGTTGAAGATCCAGCAGGAAATGGAAGTAATTAATCCTTTTCCACGTTTGAGCAATAATACTGATATTCTTGAAACCTCATGTTGGAAAGACAAAAATAATTTCCCGCATTACATATTTTGGGGTATCCAAAATGAACTTAGTTCTGTGGATGTGAGCATGCATTGACCTGATGTTATCGGAGGAATGTTGTTTCACTGTTAAGAAGGGCTTATTATACATGAATGAGATGGCTCTATATCTAATATTTAAATAAACCAAAGTATCCATGTGACCCACAACTGGCAGGTTTTAAAAAACTAATATTTGACCTTATCTCTGATTATAAAAATTACACATTGAATATAGAAATTTGGGGGGAAGTAAAGAGAAATATAAAGGAACAAATGAAGAAGCTACCTATAATTCCAGGACCTTGAGGCAGCTACTACTGACATTTGGAAGTAGTACTTCTAGTTAATCCTTTGAGGGGGAGAGAGTGATTTGTTTTGCATATATGATTCAATTTTATATGTTGCTATTTGTTAACATCAGGTCATGAGCAGTTTTGCATGCTATTAAAGTTTCTCTATGACCTTCAGGTTAAAGACAGCATAGTTTTTCATCAGTAACAGTGTGAGATAATACATATATTGGTCTCTGTCCCCAGTTCCTGGCACAGAGTTCCTAAAGCCCTTGTAACTTTCTAAGTGATAAGAGCATTAGGAGCGTCTTTTATTCTAATAAGGCACCTTGGAATTTTCAGCATCCCCCTGCCACACACACACACACACACACACACACACACACACACACACACACCCTCTCTAGAGAGGGGAGATGGGCTGGAAATGAAGTTAATAATTGATTGTGCCTGTGAGAGGAAGCCTCCATAAAAATCCCACTAAGGGGTTTGGGGAGCTTCCAGGTTGGTGAACACATCCACATATCAGGAGGTTGGTGTGTCCCCAGCTCCATGGGGACAGAAGTGCCTGTGCTCAGGACCCTCCCAAGACCTCACGTTATGTGTCTCTTCATCTGGTTGTTCATCTGTACCCTTTAATAAACTGGTTAACCTAAGTCAGTGTTTCTCTGAGTTCTGTGAGCTGCTGTAGCAAATTAATCAAACCAGAGGAGGGGGTTATGGGAACCTCTGATTTAGAGCCCATCAGCCAGAAGCACAGGTGATAACCTAGACTTGGGACTGGCCTCTCCAGTAGGGTGTAGTCTCAGAATTGAGTTAATTTGTAGGACACCAGCTGGTGTTGCAGAGAATTGCTTGGTGAGGGAAAATCCCCCGCACATTTGGTGACCAGAGGTGTCAGAAGTGAAGTGTTGTGTGTGAGTGGTAAAGCAGACACATGGGAGAGAAGACTGGGTTTTTCCCTCCTCACTCAGTTTCCTGCTTGTTGGCCAGTGTCAGGGTCTCGCAAGACTGTGTTCCAGCCTGCTTCTCCATATCATGGGGGCCTGAGTGTAAATCAGGTTCCTGTCCTGAGCACACCTGAGAGGAGGCCTTGTGCCTCTGCTGCTCTCCAGTTGCAGCATGCACAGTTTGTTACTTTCTAACATTTCTAAAGTCAGATAGCCAGAGATGGCATGTCATATTTAATTGCTAGCATTGTTACTTTCATAAAGGAGAGACATAAAATGATGGTACATAAAATAATTGTGTGTCTTACAATCTAGAATATCTTAGAGTCAATGAAATAGCCTGTCTTCTTCCCTCCTTTTTAGGACAAGCTAATCACCCCTCCATCATTCTGACTGGTTCCCCTGCTTATTGATCTATTTGGTTTATTTCCACCTCCCCTTATCGATGCCAAAGGCTTCTCTTGAGCCTTAGTCCATCTGGCTGTGGTCTGGATATTTGTTTCTTATTATTATCTTTTCTTAGGCTTTATCTTGCCCTTTACCTTTATCTAACCTGCGTGTACCCTCTCTGTA